AAGATGGCACGCGCCAGGAAAGAATTGGATTCCCCTGAGCTTAAAACTTGAGAAGTTGTAGGATAGACACGTAGAAATTTGATAAAAAAAAATATTATTGTTATCTTAAGATACGATGTACACCCTAGTAGATATTACTTAGGGAAGGTACATGGTTCCCCTTACTTGCTTTTTTTCGTTACGTTTATGTACATAGATTAGATTTTATTTTCTTGGCAACGGGAAAAATGTTTCTAATCTGGAGGCTAAGGATTTTTCTCAAGATCATCTGCATTTCAATTGGCCATTTTAATTCCCACGTCGAATCTTTTACACCTGACCTTATCAAGTAAAGCGCCTTCGCTGTCGTGTCTGCAAGTGTGCACTTGCAATTCACTAGCTTGTCTTTGTTAAGGTATGCACGATTTTATACATTTATGTTTCATGCAGTTATCTTGCAAGTGTATAGGTACCTATATAGCCTTTGCTTAGGGGAAACTTCGAAATCTACCTAGTAGGTAGACAAGGAGTGATTCAGCTCTACATTATCTTATCCATCTACTCTATCTTTTCTCTTTTCAGGTTTATCACCGTAAGAGGATAGGACCAATCAATAACCCTACCATCTTAGAGCCATATAGATGTATGTATGGTAAATACGTACATAGCTTTCATAGACAATTTTCCATAGATTACTGCTACGTTACTATGATTTTCCCATCCCAAGAGACAAGTATTTGCACACTTTGGGGTGTTATGGACTATATATAGCTGCAAATTATTTATCGCCATTGAAACTTATTAAACACATGGCTCCGAACTAAACTAAAGCCTTTGTTCTTGTATAAACACAAATCGGTATAGGCATCGCATTTAAATAATCAGAAGTCAAAGACCGTCTAACTAATACCTAATACTTTGGTAAAGACACTTGGATGAACGGTATCCACTTTAGCTTAACCACTGGAGGGGCTAGGAGGCCCATAAAAAAACTTCCGTCTGCCGATATCTAGAAAAAAAGTCCCAATCATTCATTGCCAATCATTAACCTTCATTTGCAAAGTCTCATACGACTTCACTGCCGTCACGATGCCGTCTACACATAAAAAGGATAAGCCATGGGATACGGATGACATAGGTTGGTGCTGATAAAATTGAAAACACTGAAGAGTATCTAACATGAAAATCAGATAAATGGAAGGTTGAACCTTTTAAACCTTCGGATAACGCTGGTGGAACATTTGCGGAAGAGTCCTCATTTGCAGTGTAAGTATCTCCTACTGAAATGCAAAACTTAATCACCAGGCGCTAATATACCATCAGTCTATTCCCTCGATATCGTGAAGTTTATCTCAAAGAGGCATGGCCTGGAGTGACCCAGGCGCTCCAACAACATGGCATCGCGTGCACACTTGATCTCGTCGAAGGTAAAACATCACATTACTTCTTATCAACTAGATTGGCGCTGACCAAACAATTTCAGGATGCATGACGGTTAAAACAACAAGAAAGACATACGATCCCGCCGCCATCCTCAAGGCTCGCGACCTCATCAAATTACTAGCACGTAGCGTACCTGCGCCGCAAGCACTTAAGATACTCCAGGACGATATGGCCTGCGATATAATCAAGATAAGAAACTTAGTACGCAATAAGGATAAGTTCGTGAAGAGACGACAGAGAATCCTTGGACCAGGCGGTCAGACCCTGAAAGCGCTCGAGCTCCTGACACAGACGTACATCCTCGTGCAAGGAAACACCGTTAGCGCGCTAGGTCCCTACAAGGGGCTGAAGGAAGTGCGGCGAGTAGTGGAAGACTGCATGGCGAACATCCACCCGATCTACCAGATCAAGGAGCTCATGATCAAGCGGGAGCTTGCGAAGGACCCAGAACTAGCACACGAGAACTGGGAGCGGTTCCTGCCCAACTACAAGAAGCGCAGCCTAAGCAAGCGCAAGGTGCCGTACAAGGTCACGGACAAGAGCAAGAAGGTGTACACGCCCTTCCCACCGCCCCAGGAGAAGAGCAAGGTCGACCTGCAGATCGAGGCCGGCGAGTACCACCTCGCCAAGGAGGCCAAGAAGCGCATCGCCCACGAGGAGCGCATGGAGAAGCAAAAGGTCAAGCAGGAGGAGAAGAAGCGCCAGCGCGAACAGGACTTCGTCGCGCCGGAGGAGAACGGTTCGTCCGAGAAGAAAAAGAGGAAACGGAGGAGCAAGGACGACGAATAGAAGTAGTAGTAGTGTTGTCTCTTGTGCGAAGGATATATGTATTACTACTTCCAGCCGTGATCTTTTTCTTCGAAAATCTTTACGATACCCACGAAATTCTGAAAATACTTCCATCAAGGTTTCTAGTCTTCTTTTCCATAAAGCTAGTTTTTGTGGTATGCAAAAGATTCAGGTACTCGAAAGATTAACGGTCCTTCCACCACACTTGGCCCGGCGACCTGAACATGAGACGGCGTAGATAGATAAAAATATGTTCGTCGGAGTTTCAAAGGAGATTCTAGGCCTGAGCCGAGCGCGGAATGGTAAGGATAAACCATCTATGCCAATACAAATGCGCATGACTCGAGCTCAAGAGACTATCTATTTCTATGTTTCTCTCGCATCCCTTTTTATAGTATTGAAAATCCCGATATAAAAATATTCAGGGGTCTCGTGTACGCATGAGAGAGTTTACTATATATAGTATGGGGGCAATAGGAGAGCTCAGGCCCAACCCTTAGTTACAGTTAATTTAATTCGTGTTCCGTTATACTAAACCTCTATTATTAGGCCAATAGTACTCGTAATGTACTGATTGATAATCACACATATTTAACAAGCATAAGACAAATTAAAGTGAGTGAGAGAAAGAAGTGCAGACTTAAAATCGCAAATATATTCCTAGACAGGCATATGAGCCCAGAAGAGAGAACGCCTAAAACACCAATATGCCTATCCGTATCTTTCGTTTGGTATCACGTCTAGCACGACTAACTAGCCCCAAAGATCATCCAGATTTACCCGTCGACCACCATCGTGTCATCTCCGTCAAACGCCGGGCCCGGCTGCTCGATCGGGACTCCTCGACCACGTCCAGCTAACAGTTCCCTTCGGATCTCCGGTCCAATCTTGTGGTGTCCGTGGGTTAGTAGGAGGTCTAAGAGGGCCTCTCGCTGGTCCTCTGTGATCTCGTTGCGATACCGCTGCGCAAAGGCTAGCAGACATTGGTGCCAGATCACCGGGAGTTTGACCTGCATAGCTGCCCGCTCGCTGCCAATGTCCATCGGAGCGCCTTCCCTGATAGACGCGGGGTCCACGCTTCGGAAGCGTAGGAAGTGGAATACGAGGGAGTCGATGACCTGGTAGGGAAGAGCGTATTTCTTCTCCAGGAGGGTCTTGATAAATACGTTCGTAGCACCTCCACCCTCTGTTCCGGCGGACGCTTCTCGTGCCGCAATATCGCACAGCCCCTTGATAGCCGCGCCGGAGTGTAAAACCGGGATGGAAACCCTAGCCAGTACGGCGGATATGATAGTCGCTTCCCTCAAGGTACAGGTACCGCTCTCTACGAGGGGAAAGAGGAAGCCCTTGAACCACGCCGCGGGCTTATAGAGGGCCTTTTTTAGGGCATTGAACAGATGTACATTCAGTTTCTTGGTCTCATGGATATCGTCCCGCACACGTTCGAGGAGGATCATCTCCATGAATCTTCGGACCACGATCGGCTTGCTAGAAATGAATATCCTCGTAGCCTGGTAGCACGCGTTCGGGGTCCATTGATCAGGTTTTGTCAATTCAATAATGTCTTCCCAATGAGGTACCGTCGGCAGGATTTTGAATGGTTTGGGTAACTGGCCGGACTTGTATCGCGATAATATCAGACCGATCCTATATAATGTTAGTAAGGCCATACAGACTTGCCGTAGAACGCAGTCAACCTACTTAGAATATACCTCCACTACCTTTGGCGGGATCTCGAAATCGGCATCTGCAGGTCCTAATTCCTGCCCTCTGTCTTGCCCAGCTTCATGTTCGGCGATTCTCGCTAGGATCAGATCAGCAAGGTTGGTCCCGCCGCCTTGCTGCTGCGCAGATGCTTGACCCCCCCAGCCTTGTGTTAATAAAGGGTCGTCATCCGTAGGCAAGAATTTGTTGAACGTGTCTAGGTCCTCAGGCTCAATCTCAATCTCCTCTACTATTTCATCCTCGTCACCCCAGACCTCTTCGTCCTCGAAGGCCTCGTTATATTCGCCTTCTTCGTCGTCAAATCGAGAGTCAAAACCGAAAGCGCTGTTCTCCTTCGGTGGTCGTGGAGGCGCTACATCAATCTCTTCTGCTAACTCTCTGCCGATCTTCAGGATCTTCTTAGATGCCTTAGAGTCTATGTAGTTTTCCTGCTCGTCTTCGTCGCCGCTTTTGGATTTTCTCTTGGGAGCCTTTGCGCGCAAGGGTCCCGTGGCTACGAGGTCATCTTCCAAGGGGTTGTGCCGCCGCCCTTGGCGAACGGAAGTTGGTGTGGTCGCCTTCGGCATGGTTTTTTCCCTTGAACTAGTTCGGGCTCGGGAATGCTGTTTTTCAAGTATCACGACGTGGGGCGCAAATTGAATTGTGTGAATGAATTTCTTTTGGAAATTCAAAAATTTTGAGGGGTGGGCGGAACCAATTCCGTTTTAGCGGATTGAACCCCTTGAGGCTTGAGCTGAGGTTAGCTGCCGTATGTACCTAAGTACCTTCAACGGCCAAGTCAAAAAACTGCACATGGGGGTAACAAATAAGTACCTAAGGTAGCAGCAGCCGCAGTGCTCCAAGTTCAACGTTGCTCATAGGTCGGGTCACAAAAATATATTAAAATTGGAAAAGGCACAAAGCCGAGTATACTAGGTAGTTTCTATCGACCCTAATATTATATACTACCGCACCTTAAGTATTACCAAGACATGCTGTACCCCACGATTGATATCAGACACCGAGGTCACACAAAAAGGATGAGTATAACCACGATGTAGGATCGATGACCAAAAATGAAAATATGTCCTTGGTGAGGCTCGAACTCACGACCTTTGGATATCCCAATTCTTATGAATCGAGTCATACTTATGGTATGAGACCAACGCTCTAGCCAACTGAGCCACAAAGACTAGATACTGTATATATACCGAGGTCCCTTTTCAGGGCGAACCAATTTCTGGGGTCCTCGGAATTACTTGGCGGTTTTTCTAAAAGACCCTAAGTATTTGACTATGTGAAATTAGATGTGTATCAAAAGTGCGTTGTTAATTACAAAAACTCGCGGCCCTATAAGTTACGGCCCTGCGGCCCTACTCCAGTAGTGTGCAGACTAGAGCGGATCACCTGCCAATCAGCTGCTAATGCTAACTTCAAAGATAGGCAAGTTCGAGGGAAATTTCTAAAGCGGTTTCGAGTACCTATTTGAAAGCTTATTATTGTGTTGATATGGTTTACTGCATTTGATATTATGGATATGTGCATTAAACCAAGACCACCCACGTCATTTTTTCTAAGCCCCTCCATAGAGCTGCGCAACCCCTCCAAAACTATCCTGTCGCAAAATTCTTAGTTGATAGGAACTTTTCAGCTCATAGCGAAGACAATATTACACTTGAGAGTTAGTCTATACGCTATATATTTTCATATATTATCAAAATGCCTACGGAATTAGAAGAGGTACGCTTAAGAGAGTAAAATGCGTCTTATTTTTTCTTTCTAATCTTCTATTAGTTGGTTGGCTTCATTGCCGATCCTAAACCTGAGATACGCGCTCTCGCGACGGAGCACTTGGTCCCCTATTCGACATCTCAGCCTAGCATCTTTAAGGTTGACAGCCTCAAGCCTGTAAAAAATCTGAAGCTTTTAATAAAAGATCATCCGGTAAGTCTCTCTTCCTCGAAATTGGAAGCGCATAAAAACCATAGCTAAATGTAATTTGTAGAAAATTGCCGAGCATGTTATCACCATTCTTATCAACCTTGCGGCTGATCGAGAAATACTAGAAAGCTTAGCCACGGACGAAAAGTTTTTGGACGAAGTCCTCAGACAGATTATTGTCAGTAAAGCGTTGCATGACTGGCGGTTCGATTCAGGTCCCAGTCGATTCTTTGTATACCTAGCTAATGCGTACATTAGATCGCAACTGAACCTAACGCAAATCTCCTTTCCATGCTTCTAGCAAATCTTGCAAAATGGGACTCTATAAAGAGAGTTTTAACTAAGAAGCAACCATCGCCGACCGAGCTTGGATCAAATGACCTTGTTTTGAACCAGCTGGTCGATCTATTCGTCAAAGGCGCGGACGGGTCGTACAACAAGAACGCAGATTTTGATCATTTGGCTTACCTCTTCGCTGACCTAACAAAGCATGCCGAGATACGACAGTATTTTGTGCAGAAGCAAGATTACGATGGGGTAATACCCATAACGAAACTAAAGGTTTTCACCGAGTATAAGTCGAATGTGAGGCGGAAGGGAGTCGCTTCCACCCTAAAGAACGTCGCCTTTGACGTACCTTCACACCCCCTATTTCTATCGGAAGATGATATCGATATCTTGCCGTATGTCCTGTTGCCCATCATGGGGAATGAAGAGTATGACGAGGAAGAGATGATGTCAATGCTTCCCGATCTTCAGCTTCTCCCTCCTGACAAGCAACGCGATAACGATCCGAACATTATTCAAACGCACGTCGAGACACTATTGCTTCTGTCGAGCACTAGGGAAGGCAGAGAACACATGCGCAATGTCAAAGTGTATCCAATCATCCGGGAAACTCATTTGCGTGTGGATGACGAAGGTGTTCGGGATGCCTGTGAGCGATTAGTCCAAGTTCTAATGCGTGATGAAGCAGATCCAGACAAAGCAGATCGCGTTAAGGAAATTGGACAGGACGGCAATGAAGACGATGACGACCAAATTGTGGAGGTGTAGGTCGCATAGCATATGTGAACTTACTACTGTGCCATTAGTAAAGCTGTCCTATGTCTGCTGGCAAGCATCAGGGCTTAGGGTGGTTATTTGAGCTGTTGGGTTACATCTACCAAAGTGATCACTGGTGTTCCTTCGAAGGTAACTCGAGTTCTATGACGGATACACGGCGTCAAGATTAAACTAGAAAGCCGCAGTCCCCTGGGCTTCTTGGCTGGTTCTATGCGCTGAAACGGGGAATTGTGGCTGACGGTTGGAGGGCAGAATTTGTCACGCCCATTCTAGATGGGATCTGTTGCATCAGCCCAGGCGAATCACGCGGTACCGCTCAACTGGTCTCCGAGTCCTTGAGAATCGAAAATCTCTGGAACAGAGGGGCTTACCCGAGTGGGTGCAAGAGCTAGCGTCAGGCTTCCAACACGAATATAATACCAGAATCGATACCGAGGATATTCTCACGAAGGCGACCTCACGTGAAACTTCATCAGGGTCTTTGGCCACTGACCAAAAGAGAATAGCATTTCAAGTAATCCACTTTTAGGCCAGTGTTCAGTGTTCAGTACATTTAGATAATGGGTCCTCGTGGCCTCGAGGCTCGAGGGTTGAATAAAGCGGAACTATGTTAAAGCCGCCACGCAAGGAGCAAGTCAACTAGTCTTCAAACTCGAGGGCTGAAAGCTAACAAAGTTCTATTAAATTGGGCCTATGATTGGCTAACGTGATTGGATTCGGCTGGCTGTAGGCCTTAATGTTACAAATCTTGAAACTTTTGTTCTACCTTCCCGAGAGGGAGCCGTCAAGTCATTCTCGTAATGGCCCGAACCTGTTCAAAGGTCGAGAGCGTGGTCGAATACTCCTAACTGATTGGTCTAATCGCAACTAGCGACTAAAACATACAGAAACAGCCCTTATTCATTGAATACCTATTGCTGGAGACTATTTTAGTCAACAGTTATATGATCCACCTGCGATATGGAGCAAGGTCGGTCAGTCGACAAGTCCTTGGGTCTGCTCACTTGCAGAGTGACAGAGTCTGGTCTAATAGGAAACTAGAGAATATCAAAAGGAGGTGTTACAAATTGCAAATATTTAATAGAGCGGAACCAAGACGAAATTACCCTAACCGAGGCCCCCATCGGATAACGTACATGTAGGTTTCAGGGGAGGTGTATAGAAGTGATGGGGAACGTGAAAGCATATAACGTCACAATAGTACAGATACTATGTAGTATGTTGACGCAATTATGGGAATGGATAACAAGCATTTCCTACCGTCTTGTCGTCGAGTCTTGGTTTCTTGGTGAAGTCTTATTTCGACTTCCTGATATCTTGGCGATGTTTAGATTGGTGTTGCCCTAGGACTAAAATTGGTCCATTCCCTTGAATGACGGCTGCAACATCAATCTACAATTCCCAATCCCTCGAAGATCCTTGGTAGGCGTGGTCCGGTGGTGCAATGCGAGGCACACCATCCTGCGAGAGACCCCATAATTACAGGGATCGCAAAGGAAATGCAGGGATCGTACAGACTGGACAAGGGGAGACCCTTTTCGGGCTGGGCGCCATGCCGCAATCGATCCGAATAAAACCCCACTGATTTACCCACTGATTTACGAATTGAGGTATCATTCAGGGATTTAAACCATCCTGGCGAATCAGATCGTCGGAGCCTCAACATGTGCTCTAAGCTACAACTCTAATTCGTCTTCAACCACCAACAACATCTACTTTGATTGGATAGAATTACTATCATTTCTATCACTTACAACCCGCCAGCTACGAGTCTACGACTTGCTAAGCCGCTAACGTTCGAACAACTGAATCTTTTCATCAGCCTAACCTCGTTCCCAGGTGCATAGATCATCATGTAAAAGCGTGGGTAAAAGTCGTCAGCTTCGGTCACCCTTCGATTTAGCTTCCATGCATTGGGTCCTTCTACGTCAAAGATGATATAGTTCTCCGTCGGTGCTTTTGGGGGTTGGGCGGAATACCCGTTGAAAAACGTGGACCTAAAAGAACCTACCATCTCGATCTAGATGTTTGCCCGCTCGGGACCATACAGTTCCCATGTACGGGATATGGACCAGTACTTCCGTAGCTGAGGAATAGTCAAGACTAAATCTCACCAGTCTCGTCTGATACCTCGAGACACTCCCACGCTCCGGTTCGTCATATTACATGAAGATAACCGATCCATTCGCCATGTCTCTAGCCGTATTAGGACCCGCGGGTAAAAGAAGAAAAAAGAAGAAAAGAAAGCCAAGTAATGTGTAAGTAGAATCAAGGAAAGTCTACAGATTTACAGGCGCACTCGAGTCTGCCTAGCCCAGCCCATCAAAATATGATAGGAAAGATCAATCACCTTTCTTATAACTAGTACCTAATGCATTACTATGTGTAATAGGTAGTAGTTGGAGCTGCTTGTGGACACCGACGTAATGGTTGAATTATTCAAGCCTGGGCTAGTTTACGATATTGCACCCACATTGCATTGCAGTTATTGATCCATGCAGCCCGCGTTTTTATCTCATGTTAAACGGACTACCAATAGGCGTAACAGACCCGGAGGGACCGCCCGGAGTGGTGGGATTGCGATACCAGGATCCCGTCCTACTGTGTGAAGCATTACTTACGGCCCACCCTCCCACTTGGTAGGGAAATGTAGGTATGGTCCTTGTATAGTCCTTGTATGGTCCATGTACGTACATCTCGCATGTTGTTAGTTAGCTGACTCGCTGGTCCCCTGTCACAAAGAACTCGCCTTAATAAAATCGTGGTTCACCTTGGGGCCAGGATTTGAGCTTGGTTAAGGAAAGATACAAAAAGCATGGCACGTCCCTTCAACTACAGATAAATCTGCTTTTTTTTTCTTGGTTTCTACTTGTCATCATCAAGTCCCTAATTGGGTGACAGGCCCTCCCTTGTTTCCCATCTATTGCCTGCCGTTCCCCTCGCGTCTAGGAAGGTTTGCAGAAATCTTAAAACCTTGATCACTTTAAGATCGATTACCAGAGAGCACGGACAACATTCCCCTCCTCCCTCACCTCATCTCGTCCCATTACCATGGCTGACGCCGCGCCCGATACGGCGAACCAAAAATTCGCCTCGAAAACGTCTGGCGGCAACAACGCTTATCACAACTTCCACAATGACTTTTTACACATTCAAGACCCCAACGAGCGTCGTCGTCTCGCGCTCG